GTGACACAGCTCCATTTTCTACTCACAGAAAGCTACTTGAACATATTACTTATATTTCACTGAAAAAGAATACTTCATCATTTTGGCAAATGATTTTTATACTTTGAGTGTTGCTCTTTTCCTCAGATGCAACGACAATGCTCAGTATTTTCTCTGCTGTTTTGCAAAAGTCTCAAGTGTGTAGTGAAATATGATTAATTATATTGACTTGCAACTAACAAAAGAATCTAAAATCTACATATCTGAAGCTTAAAATAGCTGAATGGTTCATCTCTGTCTCTTGCTTTATATAATAGATTGAAAATGAGTAAGTCTGAGGATTTTACTCTTAACAGTTCAAAGTTGTATTATCTGAGGATTATCCCTTCCTAGTTTTCAGATGGAAAAAGTAAAATACAAAAAGACAAAGGGATTTGTCAAAAGTGAGATGTAACCAATATGGATTCTATCTAGGTCTACCTGACTCTAAAACCTGTCTTATAATGCACTATAATATTTAGCTTCTCAATTAGGTGAAATTAATTTCATAATCTGGAAATCAGTCATGTTGTTGATAATAAATTACAGATAGGCCAATATAATAGAAAGCAAACATTTATTTTGTGCCATTGCTTGCAAGCATACTGAATAAGGAAATCCTTTCATAACTCTGGTTAACAAGTCAGAAATTTTAGATAAAATCTACCTGTTATCACCAGAGAATCTTTAAGACTCAGACATGGTGGGTTCTTCTCATCGTACAGACCAGAGATTACTTGCCCATACAATGTGCATATGCTGAAAGGTGGCTAATTATTTCTGCTCCCTTTTAGATGGGGTCTTTGCTGTGGTTTTATATAATTATGATTTACTACCATCTCATCCTTAACAATTCTCTTTTTATTTTGTTGTATCTTTGACTACTGATATGTTATAAATCTTCCATTAACATTTGTATTATTCCATAAGATTCTTTTCATCTAGAAAAGAGATTGAAAGAAATGAAAAAGACTAGACCAGTCAAATATACTTTTGGTGCTTTTTAATAAAATCAATGAGGATCAAATGTACACTCTAACACTGTAATAAAAGGAAAAAAAATACTTTTAGTAAATACTTTCACTCTGGCCAATAGTCTTGAACAAACAGATTAAATTAAGGTATCCTGAAAGAATCTTCCTAGAGACATTATTATGTATTGCCGATATGATGGAATAATTTAAAGAAACGTCATAAGATTAAAACCAAAACCCTGTGTCTTTCATTTATTCAAACTGCTATGTTGTCAGTGAGCCATATTGCTGTCTTTCTGCCCTCTGGTGGTTAGGCGTTGTAATCGAGTATTTGCGTGCCAGGAGCAGAACCAGAGGCAGTTTTCCTACAAGGGGCTTTGTTATTTGACTACACTGGTTACTTTCAAAGAGAATTGAACATCAGCCCACAGTATCCTTGGCATAGCTTACTTGCATATCACTTTTAAAAAGCGAGGGGAATTGGGGCTTATGAATTCAAATAAGTACATAAACTTATTTACTTATCATGTTTATTATGTGCCTGCCACTTAGGAATGATTGACCACACAATTATGAATAACGCACAAATAATCATGGTGGAGTTCTATTTTGGTGAGTGACATAATATTCCAAACTTTCTATGGAATCTTATATATGTAATGTCATTAAATCTTACAAAAGCGAAAGGAAGATATAATTCCCTGCCCATTTAAAAATAAACAGGGACTAGAGATTCAGCTCGTTGATGTTGTGGTATATCTTATAAGCTCAAGGACCAAGTTCGATCCCCGGTACCAAAAATAATAAATAAATAAATAAACAAACAAAAGCACAGAGAGAGTAAGTTAATAAATAAGAGAAGTGTGATATAAACCGAAGAAGTTTGACTGCACAAGTCAAAATTTTCATGTAGAATCAATCTGAAAACACCACAGAGATTTGTACCGAAGAAGGATTTGAACTTTTGATTAAATAGTCACTCAGTATTTCTAAAAATGTTTGTAGCTCTTCCCATAAATCCACTTACTGGTCTTGTTTACACAGAAATTTAGCAATCAAAATAGAGGGAGGTACTCTTTTCTTCCCTCTTCTCTTATCCCATGCCACAAAGATTAAGAATGTATCGATTTTTTTTATTTCGCTGAGACTACATGTGCATTCGCAATCTAAAGCAATTCATGATCCTTGATACCCACAGCTTTATATTCAGAGAAAAGGTAGATTATGGTTTGGATTTTATTTCTATCATCTTTCTAAGCATTTGGATATCCTGTGCACATTTCTTCTTCATTTATTAAAACTCAATTTTTACTCATCCAAAGTTCAAATTTTCCATTTCCTCTAAAATGAAGTTTTTATGGATGAATCTCAATCGTACTAAATATAGCATCAGGGTGCCGGGGATTTAGCTCAGCGGTTCAGGGACCTGCCTTGCAAATGTAAAGACCCGAGTTCAATCCCCAGTACCAAAAAAGAAAGAAAGCAAGCAAGCAAGCAAGCAAGCAAGCAAGCATCATGCAAGGCTCATCATTTGCTCTGCTGTTTAATTCTTCACCAGTTAGTGTTTATTTTTAAGATTGTTTACTTGTTATTCAGTATGCCTCCCCTTTCCCTTCGCATGAATGAGCTGAGACATTGTCACATAGGTTTTTCATTTATTGGTGGATTTTGAACAGTATGCAAGAAAGAGGGAGAAGAAAGAAAAAAGTCAAAGCAGGAGTTTTACCAAGTCCTTCTTTCTCTTTATAAAACTTATTCAACTGCTGATGTTCAAATAAAAGGACAGAAAATGTCTCCAGGAAACCCAGTTAGCAGTTAAGTAAGATCATTGCGTATTTTTCATGAGAATCTTCTGAAACTTCCTTTTCTAGCACATTAAAGAACCCCTTTGGCCTTTTCACTTTGATCAGGTCTAGGAGTTTTATAACTCTAAAGCAACCACACTTCAACTTATTTCTACCAGGCTTACCCCTTCTTCCCTGGCCTATTTTCTCCACTTTTATAGGTCAATACTTAACCTATCAAATAGAATTATTCCAAGTCAGCCTTTCAATGAGGGGAAGTGAGGCGTTTTATGTGATCTCTTCAATCTTTTCTGTCTCAGCATACATTTAGAGAAGCCATTTGTAGTATACTGAAGTTTACATTAATCATAAAGTACTATATACTGAATGACTTTATTATTTCCCTACACAGGCAAAAGAACAATGAAATTATATTTTATTTTCCCACTGACACGACTGGATATTTATGAGGTGTGATCAAAGCACCTATTTAAAACTCATTCAATTTATATTTGTGTCTAAAATGCAATTTGTGAAAAAGTTTATATTTTGCTGCTCAGTGTAGCAAGAATTAAAGGGACTAAAATTGTAGATGGCAAATACCAAGAGAGGTTTTCTGAAGGAAACAGTGGTTTGAGCATAAGCTAATGGATAAACAAAATATCAAGGAATAATCAAGTTAATGGCTAATTTATAACAAATCAGTGAAAAAGGTAACAATACTTCCCTGTTTGTGAGATTTCTTATGTTATACTACATTTTCCAACAATTGGATGTTCCACTAATCACTTGCTTATTTGTTTGCTTCCCTCAATAGACAGTGAATGTTATGAGGGACTGCATTTGATTGCTGTATCCATAACGCACAGGATAATGTGTTTCTCTCTGTACATCATAGTACATGTTTAATAAACATCAGTGATATGAAAAACTAGAATTCTTATTCATGTGAAGAATAATGGGAGGCATGCTGCTTAACAAAGAAGTAACAAATCTTAAAAATAACAGCTAACTGATAAAGCATTAAACAAGTAAACGTCACACCTTTCATTGTGCTATATCTAGTATAACAAAAGAAAAAGAAAGAAAGAAAGAAAGAAAGAAAGAAAGAAAGAAAGAAAGAAAGAAAGAAAGAGAAAGAAAGAAAGAAAGAAAGAAAAAGAAAGAGAAAGAAAGAAAGAAAGAAAGAAAATTTATTTTGCCTCACAACTTCAGAGATTTCAGTCCGCGGTTACTTGACTCTGCTGTTTCTGGGTCTGTGGTGCAGCTGTCTGCTTAGGAGTACATGGTAGAGCAAAGCTGGTCACCTCATGACAGTTGGGAGAAGAAAGCATGCAAGGAAAGGGCTAGGGACAAAATATACCACTCAAAGGCATATTCCTAGTGACCTACTTCCCCTTCCTAAAGTTTCCACCACATCTTAGTAATGACACCAGATTGGGACTAAGCCTTCAAAATGTAAGCCTTTTGACGATATTCCAAATTGAAATGATAGCTATTATACATTAAACAAAACTTTTCAGACTTTGCACAACAGATAGCTCTCTGCTTGATGACAATGTTCTGAACACAAGGCCGAGGACTGGAATCCAGAGTATAGAAATCCCATTGAACTAAGAAGGCAGAAATCACAGTTCTGGGAAGCTGAAATGGCTAGAATCTGGTGTAGAAGAGGAAGAAGCTGCACAGAAGAAAGATACCCAGGAGTCATAGGAAGACTGCTGCTTGATTTCTTGACTGGCCTTTCAGCTGAAATTGTACGATGCTTACTAGAGAACAGTTGCTATGAGGTTAAGAAGAGAAAGAGATAAACCAGCCCTGGGAGATACTGGAAGTCTGACTTAGCACGCGTGTAAAGTCCTCATTAACACATCAGCAGCATCCTGAGCATCCAGCTGAGCCACCAAAACGCCTGTGCCTTAAAGATTAAAAACTATACTATGGCTGACACTAGCTCTATCTTAATATAGAACACAAAAACCTGACAAAAGGTTGAGGGGACATAAAGTGGGAAGCAGAGTTCCATCAACCAGGCAAAGCTGTGGAAATATTGTGGAATTTCCCTAGTTCTACAGATTTTCTTATTCACCAAAGTGTAAACCTAAACTAACACAAGATGGCTGGCCATTAATTAAAACATCCAACTATCTTAGTTACTTTCTCTTTGCTAAGACACGATATCTGATGCCCACAATTTAAAGAGGGGAGGTTTGTTTTGGCTCACGGTTTGTGGAGGTTTCAGTCCATCCTTGGCTTGCTTCAAGGCAGAGGATCACAGCAGATGGGCATGGCAGTGTTAGAAAGCAGAGAGCTATCAAAGAGAAGGGAGGGAGATAGACCCTGTCAGGCCACGCCCCTAGTGACCAACCTCCTCCAACCAAGCTTCACCTTCCAACATCACATTTAGCTATGAACTCAACAGTGGATGAATCATACACCAATAATCCAATCACCCCCCCAAAACCCCACCTCCACTAATAAACCATTTGACAACCCTTTTCAGATACAACAAAATGTAAGGGTTTAAAAACTCTTTATGGAAATGGGAAGGGAATCTAAGGATGGGGGGAGACAGGAGGAAAGGAGAGAAAAGCAGGCATAAAAAGCCTCAAGATGCAATATGTATATGTACCCATTCTCTACAGCGAATGTACTTATTGTGTATTATAAACATACACTAATAAAAAGTATTCATTTTTTAAAAAATCAACTGTTACAGTGTACAACCAGGGTTGCATAAAGGACGGAAAAGATTACTCAGAGATGAGACTTTAGTTCGATCACCGAGAGGACCCAGAAGGGTTGCTCCTTCAGAGTAAGAGAGCTTCAGGGAAAGAGCAGTGAGCTGATACCTCTGTGGTTATTTATTTGTAACTCAAGGACATGAGAACAAAGATGTAGAAGAGACACATTTGCAACATAGTGTATAGAAGTTTTGGTCTGGTGACAGGGCTGGATTGGGATGGTTAGCTATGTGACACACGATGACCGAGTTTAAACAATCTTATCAGGGCACAGAGGACACAATGGACAAAGGAAACTTTGCTCAGAACAAATTGCTTTTAATTCTGCTGACGATTGTGCTGCAGATTCTGCTCAAAACTCTAACCGTGCATTCCAGGAGTCCTGAACTGGCATTCACTTCCAGCATTCATTTGACCAGAGGATCCCCACAATCAACAATATTGAGTACCTGATTTTTAAGTAGTAGACATAAAGAAGGAAGAATATGTGACACATATTGAAGGGCTGAAAAAAAAGTTCATATGAATTGACCCATTTGTGATCCAGAGCTTGGATTAGGAGATAAAGACTTTAAAAATAGCTGTTATAGAATATGTGCAGAGAACTAAAAGAAAATGTTTTAAAATAAAGGAAAACATGATTTTAGTGAGTGAAGAGATAAAGAATCTTGGCAGAGAAAGTGACAATATAAAAAATAAGATTTCTTCAAGTGCGAAGTGTAGCTAAAATAAATAATTCACTACATAAGTTTAACGCAAATCTAAAAGTCCAGGGCAATAGAGCATCAAACCAGTGATCTTAAAGAGTGAGCAACAGATGTTCTTAAATATTAAAATTAAAATTTGACAAGTTAGCAGAGCCTCTAACACCTGTAGGATCATATGAAAAGACACCATATTTGCAATTGAAGTCTCAGAAATAGAAAAGGAGAGTAAGAAGATGAGAAAAAAAGTTGAAAAATAATGGTTAAAAAGTTCCCCAAAGAGCCGGGTGTGGTAGCGCACATCTGTAATCCCATCACTCGGGAGGCTGAGGCAGGAGGATCGCTATGGAGTTCAAGATGAGCCTGGGCTACATAGCGAGTTCCAGATCAGTCTCAAATACATAGTGAGACCCTGTCTCAAAAACCAAACAAACAAAAAAGTTCCCCAAATGATAGGAAATATTGGCTAATGGGTTTAATTTGCTTAAAAATCCCAAACAACCAATCAGAAATTAGTAAAAAATAGGTCACTTTGTAATCACATTACTGAAAAAAAAAAGTGGAAATCTTGAAGGCAGCCATAGTTTAAAACCCTATTATGACATTATGTACTACAAATATATACTAATAAAATATTTTTTAAAACTATTAGACACTGGGAGGAATTGTAAACATAAACATGGGATTCACATCACAAATAGTATAGACCAGGAGGCTGTGAAGCAGCACCTTTAAAATATTTTAAGGGAGACCAAAAAGAAAACCTGCCAATCTGTCTAAATCCAACAAAATTATTCTTTGAGAATCAAGGTAAAATGCATTTTCCAAAAAATAATACTGATATTATTTGTCATCAGCGGACTTCCGATTAAGGAAATGCTAAAGGATTCCATCAAGATAGAGAGAAATGATGCCAGGTTTTTTAAAACAGGGTTCTACAAAGTGAAAGGAAGAATTTCAGAAAGAATAGGTGAGTAAATACACTTGATCTTAGCCAAAAGGCCGAGAAGCGATGGGTGAGTAAATACACTAGGTTTTATTTTTTTCTTCGCACAATGCAATTGAAAGGCAATTGGTTATTTAAAATAAAAATGACTTCATAAGATGGGGTTCACAATGTATGTGGAAGTAATAAATATGCCAAAAAATAACACAGATGTTAATAGGTGGGCAAATGGAATTAAAGCATTGTATTCATTAGCTAAAACTCGGAAACAGCCCATTTGCCCATCAGTTGGAAACTGGATAAAGAAGTGGTTTTTCTATAAAGTGGAATACTACTCAGCCATAAAGAATGAGAAATTAGATTCATTCATAGGAAAATGGATAGATATTGAGGATATACTCCTAAGTGAAATAAATAAGTCACACGTGTGTAAATACCGAATAGTTTATCTGGTGTGAAAAACTAATAGCGCATAAGATCCTAATGAGATAATTGACAATGTGAAATAGAAAGAAAAGGGCTAAAGGTTTAGGGAAAGTGGGAAGGTAGGGGAAAGGTAATAAGGGAAAAGAAAAAAATAGGAGAAAATGAAAATAAAGTGTTTGTAAATGGGGAGGGGAGGAGGGGGCGAAGGGAGAGCAGGGATAAGGGGACAAAATGAGAACCAAGACCTGTCATGTAGAGATGCAAGATCCCAATGATGAATGTAACTGTACTGTATACCTAAAATGTACTGATAAACTAAAAAAATAAAATAAAATAAAGCATTGTATTCACGAAGTGTGAAAAGTCAGGTGTTAAAGAGAAATGTGAAGTAGAAATACAGGTTAGGTATAAAGAGGTACAGTACTGACTACAAATGAAATTTGAAAAGCTAAGTCTATATTTGGTGTTCCAAATGCAATCATACAAAAGTGAAAGTAATAAATTGGTCTTTGTCTAAATTTAAAATTCTACTTCTCAAAAACCACAGTTAAGGAAATAACAGGAAAGTTACATATTAGGATAAAATATTTCCTATACATATATCTGATGATAGACACTTTATCTGAATGCATTCTAGATTTTTGTCATTAAAATTTACAATAAAGAACCAAATTAGTACTGGAAAAAATATTTGTGAAGACACTTTATCAATGGCCAATGAGCACATAAAAATTCTCAAAGTCCAGAGGAAGCAAATTAAAAACAAACTCTCTAGGACATCACTTCTTACCAATTAAATTGGTTAAAATTTAAAAATCTGACAACACCCAATTTTAGAAAGAATTAGATCCTGTGTGTGTGTGTGTGTGTGTGTGTGTGTGTGTGTGCGTATGAATCACAAACATAACTTGTAATGAATTTAATGTTTTAACTCCAAAAAGTCTACCTTTGTTTTACTCTTTATTTATAGTGGGGTTTGTCATCTAAGAGACACCATGCAAAATTTAATGTTCTGTGTCTGATTTATTTCACTTAATATTATCGTCTCATAATCCATCCATGTTCCTACAAATGACTTGAATGCATTTTTCTTTATGGCTAATTAATGCCCCATTGTGTCTATACACTACCTGTTATTCATCTGTTCATCTGTTGATGGGTATCTAGGCCTCTTGCGGAGCTTACCTATAGTGAATTGTGCCTCTATAAATACAGTAGATGGGAGTTACCATGACATCTTTAAGTCTTTCAGAAACAAGGATCCACCTATGAACACTTATTCAATCAACACTTATAAGTTCTATTAGGAAACTACAGAGGAATAAAGATATACATTATGTCAGTGCAAGCAGAAAATCCAAGGAATTGTGCTCAGTCATAGTGTTGCTGGCATTTTTGTGGAGGTTAGAGAAATGAAATTAGCTCAAGATGGTACAATAAAGAAGATAATGAAATGTTTCTTGGATCTAACACTTCCTCTTTCTAGCTGTTTGTCTTTTCTTCTCTGAAGAATCACTTTTTGTCTTTGTTAATATTCTCTGTGGCCTTTGAGCCAGATTATTAATTTTTGCTCTTTTATTAAATTTTCTCTGATTTTATGCTGTTGTTTTTCTTACTGTTTGGATCAAATATTTGATTTATATATATCTGGGCTTTTATTAATAAAAGCACCTCTAAAGATCACCTAACCCAACACTGTACATTACCCATTTCTGGGAAAAGTGGGACGATTTCAACAACTACAGCTCAACTTCAAGTTTTAAGAAAGCTTATGTAAAAAATACAAAGCATACAGTAAATCTTCACAGCAGTCAAACGCTGTTAGCCTATATTCTGCTGTGAATCTATGAGCACTACTTCATGGTTGGGTCTTGTTACCTCTTCTTTTATTGGGACCACGCCTTGTCTTCTGTTCAGTATCAGAAGGTAAAGCAAAGCCAGTTTCTGGGTGGGCACAAAAAGTGCTGTTGTGCCTAACACGGATAAACCTGGAGAAGCAGTTCAGGGAAACCCACAGACAGCTGTTACTTGAGCCTACAGTCAGTAGACAGCAGTAATTAAAACTGCCATACAGTATCAGGCAGGGATGATTTGATTCCACTTTTTCCCATTACTAGCTGACTTAGCTGCTAGCACATAATTACTTGAAATCCACTTTTTCTTGTTTGTGAAATAGGGAAAATAATAGCAAATTTCCACTTCTTCTTTTTTTTTCTTTTTTCCTGTGCTGAGGATCAAACCTAGGGCCCCCAACATGTTAGGAAATTACTCTACCACTGAGCTACACCCCTAACCCAGTGTGGTAGTTAACTGAGGTGTCAACTTGAATAAGAAACTCCCAGAAGATTTGTTTAGCGCAGTGCTGGGTGTGTCTAGATGATTGATTTACTAAAGAGGGAAGACTCAAGCTGGGTGTGGGTGGCACCAACTAATAGACCTGTAGTCTCCTTGGACTAAAAAGGGAAAGGAAGAAGGAAGGCTTCCTTCTGCTCCTTCTGAGGAGCTACAATCTTTGCCATCACTTTTGGACACCTGCCTCTAGGCTCCCAGGTCGGACCCTTCCACTTCCCAAAATGAACTCATAAAAGTTTTGCAGCAAGTTCCAGATCTTTGACGTTTGATTGGATCCTTCAGATCTCCAGTGTGCAGATAGTCCTTTTGCATTTGTCCACAACAGACACTTCAGGCAGTCACTGTAAGCCTACTTTATAAATCCTCTATATATCACAAATACATACATATCCTTTATATACATATATAATATTCATATACATGTGATATATGTATATATGAATATATATGTTTATATGATGTATGAATATTATATATATATACATATAGGCATATACATCATATATATGATACATATACATGTATTCTGTTCCCTTAGTGAATCCTAACTGATGCACCCAGTTATTTTGAGTTTTAAATAAGTTATTTTATCTGAGAAGCCTTCCCTAAGCTACAATCAACTATAAGTTTT